GAGCTGAGTAAGAAACAGACCTTGGTAAATGAACTTCAATTAAATGGTCCAGTAAATGGATGACAAAGCAGCACTGAGAGCTCCACTGAGGGTGGAGTAAATACATAAGAAACAAGCCTGGGATACAGAGCCAGAGGCTAGGATTTGGAATATTAGCTTTATCTGTACTATGGACTTTTGGTTTCTTCTGGTTGGTGGGGTTGACCCTTCATTCTTGTGAAGTACGAGAAGAAAGAGTTTCAGTTTAAACTCAACAAAGGTGACGGGCAGATAAATGTGATCCCATCACCAGCCAGGATGTAGCCAAAAATAACCCATAATTAATTCTAAGCTGATGGTTTCTTAAAGAGAACTTTATGTTCAAATAGCTTGAGTAACTGCCTCTTCAGTGTCTGTAACCATTGCTCAGGTAATAAGGGATCTCTTTTTGTCACTGATAAACGGTAATAGAGTCCCTTCTTTAAAATCTAAATTTACAATACTGTTTCCTAGCCTGTTTAATAAGCTTGCTCAGTATTTCTGAATACTTCAAGAAAACAGGGAAAAGCATGAAGAAATCAGAGCAATCTCATCTTAGGGATTTTTAGCTATGGCTCAGGTATCTTAAGATCATGGCAAAAACTAACCTTGGGGGTTTATCCAATAAGTTTCTTTAAAGCAGGTTTTTATAAACCAATCACCAGCTATCTACTTGCAGATATCCAATTGTCTCAAATGGATTATCACTGTTTTCATCTAAGCATTCCATATGGCCATATGTAGTAATAGTAAAAGGATATTGGTAAACAAAGGGAATGGTACCTTTTATTGAGAAGGGGTTGGCAAACTACGGCCTGCAGCCAAATCCAGCCTTCTACTTATTTTTGTAAATGAAGTTTTATTGGAATACAGCCATACTGATTCATTTCTGTATTGTCTCTGGCTGCTTTCCAGATACAATGGCAGAGTTAAGTGGCCCTTTAAGTTAAAAGTCTGCCAATCACTGCTGTAGAGCTGTGGTCCCCAACTCCTGGGCTGGAGACTGTGTACTGGGCCACACAGCAGGAGGTGAAAATGGGCAAGTGAGCAAAGCTTCATCTGTCACCCGCTCCCTGTTGCTGGCATCACTGCCTGAGCTCCTCCGGCTGCACTCCCCATTCCTCCCAGTCTGTGGAAAAATCGTCTTCCATGAAATCAGTCCCTGGTGCTGAAAAGGTTGGGAATCGCTGCTATAGAGGATGCTAGGTAACCTCTGAAATAATAAGTTGATATTACCATCTGGAATTTACGCTTATTATTAAGTCTTATTTTTAGGAAAGAGATTATTAGCAATAATTTTAATCATAAAACATCATATTAGATATAGGTCTAGTATTAATACTTTGTAGTTTATAATGTACCTTTTTTGCATATCTTATATCTATGCTCCTCACAACAATCTTGAGTTATTATTAAATTTTACAGATGAGAAAACTGAGAACTGAGACTGCCTAACTGCCAGAGCTTGCATTTAAACCCATGCCTTTTGATTGATGTCATAGGATTTTTCTTCTACTTATAGCAGTTTTTCCTATGGCCAATAGCTCTGTTCTGGTAAGAAATGTTACAGAAACATTTTAGAGGGTAGTATTTAGGAAGCTAATTCCAAGAGCACTCCAAAATCCTTCCAGGGACCAGACTCAACTCAATGAAAACATCCTGCATTCCAAACTAGATTGAAATATCTCCGGCCACAATTCACAATTCACAAACAGCCTGTTTTCTTTTTCTAGATTTAAAAAAACCCAAAAAATCTAAATGGTAATTAGAAGATTATAAAAGAATTGTAAGTATTCAACAACATGGGTCATTAGGAAAATACAAATCAAAATCACAATGAGATGGCACTTAACATCCACTAAAATGGCTAAAATAAGACAGACAATGTCTAACAAGTGTTGGTGAAGGTATGAAGAAATTGGAGAAACTAGAATCCTCATAATTGCTGGTGGGAATGTAAAGTGGTACAGTTACTTTGGAAAATAGATTGGCAATTCTTCAAAATGTTACACATAAAGTTATTATATGACCTAGTAATTCTACTCCTAGGTATATATATGCTCACGAGAACTGAAAGCATATGTCCACCTACAAATCTATACACTAACACTGTGAATGTACCAAATGTCAATGAGTTTTTCACTTTAAAGTGTGTAATTTTATTAAAAGATTTAAAAAGGAAAAATGTGTATGCTAATGTTGATAGCAGTATAATTCATAATGGCCAAAAAGTGGAAACAATCCAAATGTCCCTGTGAATAAACAAAATGTGATATATCCAAAAATGGAAAATCATTCATCAATAAAAGAAATAAAATACTGCTATATGTTAAAACACTAATAAAGTCTAAAAACATTATGTTAAATGAAATGAGCCAGACACAGATGACCACATGTTACATGATTCCATTTATATGAAATGTCTAAAAAGCCAACTCTATTGAGACAGAAAGAAGAGTGACGAGTGACTTTAGGTGGACATGAAGTTTATTTCTTAGAGTTATAGAAACATACTGGTGGTGGTGATAGTTGCACAACTCTATAAATATAGTAAAAATCATTGACATGTACACCTAAAATGGGTGAATTTTATGGTATATATTCTATCTCCATAAAACTGTTAAAAACAAAAAGGGCACCATAGCACACCAAATATCCAGAGTTACAGACCCTCCATCTTTATTAATATTTTAAAAGTGATTAATGATATCATATGCAATTTTTCATGAACATAAATAAAACAAGGGAAATTTAAAATTAATTGGAAAGAAGTATAAATTGGAGTGTATGTCACTGCTGATCAGAAGTTCTAAATGGAACTGGTTATAACCATATAGTCTGTCTTTGCTTTTTTTAAAAATTATTATTATTTTTTTATTTCTGCATATTATGGGGGTACAAATTTTAAGGTTTCAATAAATGCCCTTTCCCCTCCTCCCCGCCCCAAGTCTGAGTTTCCAGCATGACCATCCCCCAGATGGTGCACATCTCACTCATTATGTATGTATATAGCCGCCCCCCTCCCCCCTGCCCAATACCCTATTCTAGCAGTCTGGGAGAAGCCAAAGCCTATCTGAGTAAGCCTTCTGCATTTAAAGGACCCTGTAAACTGCTGCACCAAGAAAACCAGAGTCCAAGTCTTCATTCTTAAGCCTGCAGTCAGGTCATCACCATAATCTGTACAACAGAGTATTTATGGACTGAATCCCATATGGAGCCAGTCTCAGGCAACTAAGTTATCTGCATAAGATAAACCTGTGCTAAGACAGGAGTGCATGGTTTAAATGTAGGTCTTCATGTATGGGATAAAGTCCCACTTAGTCAAATGAAGCTTCATGTTCTTTCTCTGTCAATGTGCTGTTTATTTTATGGTGTAGCAAAGGCAGGCATTGAAGGCTTTGTCTTTGCATCTGATCCTAGGCAGATGGCGATGTTAAAAGATTAGTACTCAAGTTGCTAACTATCCTTCAGTTATATATAACTAGAGGATAATGATCTTAAAGAATTTATGGAAGTAGCAGATACTTTTCAGTCTGCTTGAAACCAGAATGAGATACCTTGCCCATTATTTTAGCTTCACTTCATTCTCACTAAGGTTATTTTTGGTACAGTGTTTTGTTAGACAAGACAAATATGACTCAAATAAAGGACTTGTCATTGTGAGTTTCACTTCTGTACATCTGATGAACAGGCTTTGCTAGTTGTGTGCTTATATATGGAGAAGAATTTCCTAGGGCTAGATTCTTGGAGTTGCCCCCTTAATGCCTTCTTTCTCTTTGAAGAGAATTGTTTTATCTTTAACAGTATCCCTTGATGGAAGTCTGACCCAGAGAAAACTGTTTAAGATACCTGTATCTCTCAATTTTGAGGAAGGAAAAGAACTCTGAAGAGACTGTAGGGATTAGAACTATCAGAAACACTCAGAAACAATAGCAAACTATGGGCTAGAAAAATCAGAACAACAAATTTCCTCCTTTAATTTTGTGTGTTAACCCCAAACTGCTATCTGGACCATAAATTCCTTGAGATTAGGAATTATATCTTTTTTTGTTTTTGTATCCCTAGTATCTAGTACAATGCCAATGCCTCAGTACAACTGAAATAAATGAACAAATGCATACATGCACAGATTAATTACATGCCCTCCTTTTGGTCCCCTACTTCAGCCTTATGATTGCTGAGAGAGGGAAGCTGATGCTTTAGAACAGGCGTCCTCAAACTATGGCCCATGGGCCACATGTGGGCTGCCTAGCACATTTATCGGCCCTCTGGGTGTTTTTGCTGCTGCTGCCTGTCCTGCTTAGCAGCCGACTCATCCTGGACCCATAGTGCACACTCTCCAACAGTCTGAGGGACAGTGAACTGGCCCCCTGTTTAAAATGTTTGAGAACCCCTGCTTTAGAAAGTACCAGGAGAAAAACTGAGATTACAGTTTGAAGAGAGATTAGGGGAAGTAGCTCCAAGAAAGGTTATTGTTGGTTACAGTTAAATAGTTTGAAAACCACAGCAATAGGAATATTAAAGCCTTTACTAAAACAATTACAGAATAATTGAAAGCTCTCAGTTAATTTTTTAAGACACTGTGATAACAGGCAACTAACTGCTACAACATGACTATCCTCAGGAGATGACAGGTCATATATGGAGTACACATATATATGTGTATATTATGTTCCTTACCTAAATGATTATATGCATACATTACCTTACCTTATGATATAATGTTCCTTACCTAAATGATATAATGCATATATTTCCTGGAAAGCCTATCAAATTGATTAAATCGGGAGATGGCTAATGAAGTTGTCTTTCTAAAGGTCTAGGAAAGAATAGGCCATACATTTTAGGAAATGGATCAACTTTGTAGCAAAATAATTTCAGAAAGCAGAGAATACCCTGAAATAACAGTAGTTTCATACACATGGTGTTAAGGAAAGTTTGTTAGAGACGGAAAAAAAAAAGGGTTCCATTTCCCTAATTACCTTAAAAATGTGTGCTTTGAGGATGTGATGTCCCAGTTCAATAGTCTGCTGTCGGTTTAGTTTTCCCTCTTGGCGGGAAAACCAGAAGGCAAGTAATGTATGACCACTCCTGCAAAGAAAGAGAGACTCATTTTAGAAATTTTAATGTCCTAATTCTGCTTTGGGTGGGGGAGTGTTGAGATCCAGCCAACTTCAAACAAAACTCTCATTCAATCAGTTTCTTGGGGAAGGAGACCTGCTACTGGACAAATAATGGGTATTAACAGTTTCCTAAAGCTGGGAGCCATGGTGTGTGCCTGTAATCCCAGCACTTTGGGAGACCAAGACAAAAGGATTGCTTGAGGCCAGGAGTTTGAGACCAGTTTGAGCAACACAGTGAGACCCCGTTTCTACAAAAAAATAAAAAGAATTAGCCATGCATAATGGTGCATGCCTGTAGTCCCAGCTACTTGGGAGGCTGAGGTGGGATGATCGCTTCAGCACAGGAGATAGAAGCTGCAGTGAGCTATGATCACGTCAGTGCACTCCGGCCTGCGTGACAGAGTGAGACCCCACCTCTTAAAAAAATGTTCTTAGGCAGCTCTTTACCCAAATCACATGTATGAATATCACAAAATGTCATTTCAAGTTAGTTTATACCCATCCCACACACAGATGACATTAAAAGATTTTCATTTTCTGTCTCTGCCAGCAACTCTTATTTCACCCATGCTTAAATGTCAATGCTCCTCAGGATCTCATTTTTGGTCCTAGTTTGTCCTCTCTCTGGATTAGCTCATCTATCTTCAAAGCCTTTACCACCACCTATATCTTATATCTTTTTCTCTATCTAGACTTCTCTTTTCAGCTTTAGACCAGTATATATCCAACTGTCTATTGGATTTCCCCATTTGGAGGTCTCATAGTACCTCAAACTCACTCAACATGTCCCAAACTGGATTAACAACCTCTTCCCAAGCCTATACCAAACCTCTACCCTTTCTCTCCAGCTGCAGAGAGTGAAGTACTTTATTTTTGGTGCCAGTAGTATAGACTGTGAATACCTCTAGTACTGTATTTATACTGTCACATGCTCGCTCCTCCATGACACTGAGTTTCCTGATGGCATCCATTCCCCTATATCTCTGTACTAACAGATCCCCAACCTGTTCATGAAAGAGAAAGCTCTTTTTTCTGCCTCTGGATATTGTCCTATCCGACCACGATGGCCATAACTACCTTGGCCCTTTCATAAATCATGTGGCCTAAAGGACAAAGCCAACAGGAGGGCTAGGCTAAAAGAATTGCAGAAAAACAGAGCTTAAACCCTATTAGTGGCCCTAATTTTGCCACTTTTTGTTATATAAAGTAATACATTTCTTTATTGTTTAATCCATTTGAGTTGGAATTTTGTTTCTTTTTTTTTTTTTTTTTTTTTTTAGAGTGAGTGCCGTGGCGTCAGCCTAGCTCACAGCAACCTCAAACTCCTGGGCTCAAGCGATCCTCCTGCCTCAGCCTCCCGAGTAGCTGGGACTACAGGCACAAGCCACCATGCCCGGCTGATTTTTTATATATATATATTAGTTGGCCAATTAATTTCTTTCTATTTTTATGGTAGAGACGGGGTCTCGCTCAGGCTGGTTTTGAACTCCTGACCTTGAGCAATCCGCCCGCCTCGGCCTCCCAGAGTGCTAGGATTACAGGCGTGAGCCACCGCGCCCGGCCTGGAATTTTGTTTCTTTCAGCTCAAAGCATCCTAATGATGTACATCTTGAAGTGTATATGTATATATGTCTGTGTGATATATACAGATATACAGGGTTGTATTTCTATTTATATTTATGAAAAGAAACCAGAATTACTTATATTCTCCATAGTGTCAAACACAGCCGCTTGAATATAAAAATGCTCAGTAAAAATTTTTTAGAAGAAAAAATTTGACATTAAAGAAAGAATTAGGATACTTAGAACTGTCTCTACTGCTTACCAGGTTATAGTCAGCAGACTTCTTAATACCACTGGTAACACAACTCTTCTACTCTTTTCACTTGGTGTGCCATAATAAATGGAAACGTAACCAATATCTCAGTTTCAAGTCTAATGAATTAATCAAACAGAAGAAAAAGCAGCAAGTGAATCTTTGCTAGTGATGCCTTCCTCAAAGGAGGTCCAAATGTCTATTGGATGATTTTCTCTCATACAGCCAAGTTTAATCTGAAGATATCTCGCAGTGAAGTTTGAAAAATAAACACAGTCTTTATTTCTTCTTTGATTTTTTTTAAAGCTTCAGTAAAGAGCCTGGAGAATAGGAGCTGGGATAGCTCCCATTTTACATAGGAATCATCTCACAGAGATTTCATTCCAATAAAATTTTAAAAAGAAATTCTAACCTTTGGCTTCACACAATTTCTAAATTGTAGTGGATACCAGGTCACCTTGTTTGACTCAATAAACTTACCCATAATAGAAAAAAAGTTATTTAATTGAGAGGATGTCTCAGACAAGTGTAGCCTACATGGAAGCATCAGTATCATCTGAAGTTCTGAGCCCAGGGATGTTTAGTACAACTGTGGAAATCTGGAAATTGCCACTGAACTTTTATTTATCCCATGAAAACTCAGTCTGGTTGAGAGGCTATTATAATAGAGTATAGGGAAGTTAGACAATAATGAGAAGCATTTATTAAGTGCCTTATTCTCAAGGTCTCAAAATTCTACCAGCTATTAACAGTGAAATTATTGTAGCCTCCCTGATGTAAGAATTACTACTTTAAATGACTCATCCATGGCTGTACAATAGTGACTAGAACTCCTAAATATAGCCCTTTGATCCAGGCCTACCTGTGCTTTAGGCCATTAATGAGAGTCCATGCCTATTAGGATTAAGGTAAAAAGCCTGTGCCTGACAAGGAAATGAATTTTCAGTTACATACAGAATTGACTTTGCTCTAGTGTTTTCATTTTACTACCATAATTAAGAAACCCTGGAAGGTGTTTACATTTTTCTAGTCTTCATTTCAGCTAGCTAGAGATGACAGTGCTTGCTTTTGTTGTTGATCAGGTACTGGGCAGAAAAGACAAGCAATAAAGGTCAAGGATAAGATGAAGGTGACAACTGTAGTTCATTTCTTTTTTAATGCAATCATGCTACATTATTCATAAAAGAATGGTTCTGATCAATCCATTGGATTCAAAGCTTGTGGTGTGTAGGACACAAAGAGAAGCAGCAATTTACATTATTTACTGACTCTCCTGGTGATATCTTAAGCACTGAGATTTAGTTTGGCTTCTCTGCCTGTTGGATCTCTCTACCTCCATCATTATCAATGAAACTCACTTTTTGAAGTTTGTGCTTTCCTAAAAACTAAACCTCTTTAAGACTTCTTTATTTTTAAAATATTACCAGTCCCTCAGGCATAAAACCTAGCAGTTTTTTCCCTCTCTATCCTTTTGCAACAGTCTCCTTCTCTCCATTCTGTTCTCCACTGCCCGTTCCCTACCCCACCTGAATGATCTACATTGCAGAAACCTGATCAAAATTCTTCAGGCTTTATATTTCTTCTTATACATAATTTAAACTCCTTAGCATGGTATTCAAAGGCATTCTAGACTTTTTCTCTTGTCTATTTGTCTTTACCTCCTCACCTTGTACTTTCCATTCCAGATAGAGAAAATTATTTGTAGGGTTTCAAACATGTTTTCCTTCTTTCTAGAATTCTCTTTCCTGTTTAGTTTATCAGGAAAATTATTTCTCATTCTTCAAATCTTAGTTCACACCATCTCCACTGTGAGGCCTTTCCTGGTGCCCCTCATAGACTCAGGGGCTCTTTTCTTAGGTTACTGTGGTACCTGGTACACATCTCCATTATGGCACCCACTGCAGGACACTGTTTTCATGTCGGTCTTGCCACTAGACTCTATTGAGGACAAAAGCCAGGCCTTTTCACATATGTATGTCTAGGTAATAGGAATACATATGTGCAGAATGAATGAATAAGTAATAATATCTTACAATTGCATACTATTTTATGGCTTTCAAAATATTTTAACAATTTTTAGATTCTCACAAAAACACTATACTGTAGGCATACCAATAAATATTACTCCTAATATTATGGTGGACAATTGACTGAGACTCAGCAAGATCGAGACACAGATTCCAGGTCACATGACTTAGAAGGAGTTCAGATCAGAAGCCAAGTTCTTTTGAAACCTAGTTCCATTACCTGTATTGATAAGATCAGCTACTTGGTTTTTGTTTCTGAGCAAATCTATGTGAAAAAAAAATCTACCAATACAGAGAATAATATATTCAATAGTATAGTATAAACTCTGAATTCTTACATAATTAAAATCAGCAACCAGTAATTATGACATATTTTGATGGCACTTTGGGAGACAGTAGGTAAGAAATAAGGTAGAGCTAGCCCTAGTATAAGCATGACATAATTTTAGGCATGACTGAGCACACTATGCTTTCCCTCTATAATTAAAGATAATGGTAATAAAAATCAACTTTAATATGGGTTCACATGTTCAGATGTGATTAAAAAGACCATGGTAGGGGGATTGTTAAGGACAGGATAATTATTTCTACATAGCTTATATAATAAGATCACCTTATGATTCAGTTACCCTGTAAATTTCCCTGTCTGCATTCACAGTGTTGCCTCTTCATCTCTGTAAGTCAAATGGACCTAAGTTCAAATCATAGTTCTGCCACTTACAAGCTTTATAACCTAGGACAAGCTATTTAACCTCTCTGTAAGATAAGGATAATAATACCTATCTCTCAGGATTCTGGTAAAAATTAAGTGAGACATATTAAGTGAAGTATATTTTGTATTTTTTTTGTACCCTCCATGGTAATTAGCACAATTTCATACTAAACGAGTGGCAGTAACTCTAAATGACTTTAAATATAGAGGGAGATGACTGTGTGCTCAAATAGAACTTTAATCTTTAATGTGTGTAGCAGGGTGAATTGTGTGTGATACCCTATCCTGAACCTTGAGCCTTACTTCTCCATACCCTACCCCTTTGCAGCCAAAAGAGAAATCCCCAGATCAGGGGAAAATTACTAGGTATGGATGCCATTCAGTATTAGTTCATGCAGGAAAACTTGGAAGTA